CACCCGCCCCAACCCATAAAAATCGCACTCTGACAGTCTAGTGAAAACCATTGCAAAATTCGTATGGGGGCATGCACTGTTGCAGCATTGTTGTAAATGATTTCTTGCTCTACTAGAAAAAGTTACATTGTCTTAAGGTAACAAAACAGTTCTTTTGTGCTTTTCAATTTCTTTTTTTTTTTCTTTTTTCTTTTTGTTTTTTCTTAGAATGTTAGTGATGACTGACAGTTCTGGTGCACAGTTACAATGTACAAGTGAAATGAATATGATTTGCATTGTTAAGGCATCCAATCTGCTGGTTTATATTTATGTGAAAGACAGAGGAAATATACAAGCAGACTTAAGAAAGAAAGTATGTTCATCGATTTCTATGAAGTTTCTCCCCCAAATTTAATGCACAAAATGCGTCACTCCAAAGGGAGAGATTCCATGCATATTAATAGAGTAAAACAGCATTAGTTTTTTTTTTGTAAGTTTCCAAAGCAAAGGATACAATTTTTTTTAATCTACAGAACTAAATGCTACAAGAATAATATGCTACTACTTTTTTTTTTTTTCTTTTTGCCATATATTGGGGAAAAAAAAACTTCTTAACTTACAAATAATACAAAAATAGACAATGGCTTTTGGGTGGAAATAAAAAAAATTGAAGCATGGTTTAAAACAATACTAAAAATAACTATAAATGAAATGTTTAAAAATCACATTGAAACAGCTAATACAACTGTAAGTGACTGAACAAATACGCATTTTTCACGTAGCAAACATACACAATAAAATAAACTGGGGGTGGGAGGGGAGGAAGGAGGGAAAAAGCAATGTACAAATTCCGAAGATAAATACATTATTTATATGGATATTTTACAAAATCCCCTTTAAAACAAAAAGCCTTTTAATTAATTAACATTGCAAGTATGTGCAAGCTAAAGGTAGTGAGCTTTTTTTTTCTTTTTTGCAAAATATGCAGTAAAATCTTTTTGTGATATTGAAAAACTGCTTTAAGACATTAAAATGTATAAATAGAACAACAACTTTGGCAAAAAATCGCAAAAGATCTACAGTATTTATAACTACATACAAAAACACAACAGCAAAGAAAAAAATATTGGGTAAATGCATCCTCAGAGCTTTGCTGCATCTTTGTTACTAATTTTTAAGAACACTTCCCAGATTATGAGAGCAAAAATTTCCGTAGAACAGAAAACTAAGTTTTGGAGGTCTCAACCTTCTTTTCCATTCCCCCAGTTTCCTTTTTACTTTTAATTCCAAAGCTCTTAGCCTGTTGTTTTAATCTCTTATGTTACAAAAAGTTAGGATCGATTGGTACAGGCGCTCTCTTGAATGGGAAATCTAAAATAGGGGCCATGTTGCTTTTGTCAGTTTTGGAGTATTGGTATGAAGTCAGCTTTTAGTGTGAGTGAACTTTGAACTTGGAGATGGCGAGGTGTAAGTGAGATTTTGGCTTGATAACTAGAGGGCATAATTGCAGAACTCTGTGCCTGGACCCTGCTCCACAAAGTCTCAGAGGAGATTCACATGCAATATGTGCATGGCCAAGCTCTCTAGAGGCCTTGGGCTTCAAAAGAAGTGGACATAAGAGAGTGATATTGATTTAAATATGCAGTTTTAACAATCTTTCTAGAGGCACTGGACTTTTAAGTGGAAGGGGAAATGTGATCACTTACATTGCGTTTTAACTTTCCAGGCTGCACTTATTTACACAGTTACTTAAGACAACAATACAAAAGAGATAAATAAGCTTGCACTGCTAAGGGGTGGCATGTTAAGTTAGATACTGAAAATGCACTGGCTGAGCTAACTACCATTTGATATGCTTTAAGGCGCAAAAGCCGACCCTTAGTTTTCTAAAAACTCTAACTGGCATTCCTATTCTGTCCCATACAAGGTTTTTTTTTTGTTTTGTTTTGTTTTTGTCGGTTTTTTTCTTTTGTAATTTTTTTGTAAATATCTCACTTCATTCTCCCTTTACACAGCTTTAAAAAATCATAAATTAAAACATGGAGTCTTACTTATAGTGTCCCTTGCTTTACGGTTTATAAAAGACCAATGATTGCAGAGTTAAGCTTAAAAAAAAAAAAAAGGAAAAGAAAAAGTGGATTTGCTTTTATCACACAGAATAAATATGTCTCCCCAATACTTGGGAGGTACAACTTTAACCAACACCCTGCACTTGCAGATCCCTTCCAATTTCAGTATTTGCAAGGTCGGTGATTTTGTTTGTTTAAAAATCTGCAGTTATTATGATTCCTCTTAAAAAGGCCTGAGTTAAAAGTTCCACTCTGGGACTTGTATCAGATTACTCTCTAGCAGAATCCAACCTCTTCATTAATAAAATTCTTCAAGGCAATTCTTTCACATGGGAGGAACAATCATGCCAGATATCGCTGTTGAAAGAGAAGACAAAAGTCAATGGTTTTACATCCAAACTTCTCACTGGGGAAAAAGAAAAAAAAAAAAAAAAAACACCCATACACTGCTTTGTTAGCTGAATATTAACCACAAATGTGCTCACATCTTCTCTGGAATGAGATTTTGTTATAAAATATACATATATATATATATATATATATATATATATATATACATACTTTATTAAAAATTATAATACATCAGCATGTGCATGTATCTTTAACAGAATAGAATAGCCTACATATCCTTCCAAATCTGATTTCAATTTTGAAACATAACCGGAAAACTGCATAGTTTGAATACCACTGGGAAAGTTGCAGCCTTAAAACCCTGCAAAAAATAGTGAGAATTTTCTATTTGTCACTCTTTTTAACCCTCTCCCCTTTACTTCCAAAATATGAAATAAAAACTGGTTCATCTCAACTGTCAGCAATTTAAGGGGGGGGAAAAAACTGGCTCCCTCTGTACTCTGTATTAATGCAAAGACTGTGTAACTGAGAGCCACAGTGTTACAGTGTTAGCGCCTTCATCTCAATCTGGGCCTGGGAGCAGGAAAGGCAGGTCCAGCAGGCATTGCACACCAGGAATGTAAAGATGGGAGAAAGTATGGAGGGGAGGAGGAAGAGACTTTGCATGAAACTGCAGAAAGCCCTCCATGACACTGCTTCATTCACTGCTTCTAGAAGGCTCTGAGCAAGTTCCTAGCTGGGGTGAAATCCTGGGAAAAGGGAAGATAGTTTGAGCTAAGCAAAAAGCTTTCAAAGTGTTCAGAGTTAGGAGCCCACACAGAGTGGTACCTAGAGAGCCTGGACTCAGATAGGACAGAGTTCCACGCAAGGACAGATTGCCCAGTAAGCAAGGTAACCATGGGCTTGATTGTGCTTACTTACTAATCCGTAGTGAACAGTTTCATGTGTTTTTCACCACCTCACATGAAACTGTTCACTGCACATTAGTAACTAAGCACAAACCAGCCCGTGCTTACCTTGCTTATTGGGTACTCTATCACAGTTCTACGTCTGGCTTTACTGCTTAAGACTAAGTCTCCTCCTCCTGAACTAGTTACATGTCTCTCTGAACCTGAGTCCCCTCTGCTAGAAAACAGAGTTATCACAGCACTTGAAGTTGTTGGAGATTTAAGTGAAATGACATATCCAAAGTGTTTAGTCTGGGGTTCAGCTTCTATTAAACTCCCAACAGAAATTACCAACAGGAGTATGAGTTGCGATCAAGTCCACCCCATTTGTCAGAATAGAACTGTGCTCTCCAGGATTATCGATCACTGCTTTTTCAAAAGTAAGTCACTAGGACTTTCTTCAAGTTGCCTCTGGGTGGACTCAAACCTCCAATCTTGTAGTTAGAGCACATTAATATTTAAAACACCCAGAAACTTCCAACAGAAGTTAGCTGCTGTTTTGGGTTTTCTTTTTTCCATGATTTTTTTTTTTTTTTTAATTTTTATTGTGATTTAAGTGAAAGTTTACAGAGCAAATTCATTTTGCATACAGCAGTTCATATCCATTTTGTTTCATGACATTGGCCGCAATTCCCCACAATATTACAACTCTCTTCCCACTTCCTCCTAATAGGCCGTCTTTCTCATGTACTCCTGCCCCCTGAGACGCTCCCAGTGTCTCTCTGTGCAAACACTGCCTTTCTGTTCTCCCATGATTGATTGCTCCAAAGAAAGTATCTACCTGATGTTAATATTCATCCCATATGCCTGTCTATTGTTTTGCTAGAAGCCACAGGATTGAGTCCAGTTTTAGACCTGAAGGGTAACTAGGGGCCATAGTCTTAGGTGTCTCACCAAGCTCTATCAGACCAGAAAACCTGTTTTTTGCTTGTTTGTTTGTTTTATGATTTTGAATTTTGTTCCATATTACTCTCCCACTCTATCCAGGATCTCCTGCACCAATCCCCCTCCCAGTGGTTGACAGTGGTAGTTGGGCACCATCTAGCTCTTCTGGTCTCATGGTCATATAGCTGCTATTATTTTTAAATGATCATTCCTGCCAATAAACTAGCCTGGGACCTCAAGCTAATTGTGTAACTTCTCTGGGCTGTATTTCAGATAGGCATTATCCCACATAGCCTACTTTTATCAGGTATGGGTGTGAGCAATAAAGGGATATCTATGAGAAAATTAAAATGGAATGGCCACTTTAAAGTATGTCAAAATGAGAGAGAGGTTTACAGGAGAAGCAAGTGGCAGCCATCTTTGGCTCCCAATGATGGCTTAGTGTCCTGTCAGGCAGAGAAAATGTCATTGCTTTCTTTTTAATGGCAATTCTAAATTTAAGTTGATGCTCTTATCAGTGATGATTGAGTCTAGGCAGTGGCTCTCTTCATTTCCCAACTCAATCATGTATGGAAGAATATTCTTCCTCCCAACTTTAAAAAAAAAAAAAAAACCTACCATAATATCTGCATTAAACCCAGGGCAACTAAGTGAGGCTCTGAGTCCTCTGATCTCCATACCCTTCCTGCTTCCCCTCCCTCACCTCTGACATTTTGCATTCATTTTTTTTTTTTTTTAAGTATTTTGCCAAACACTTTTTCCGTTAATTTTTAAACCCATCTGTATTCACAAGGAAATTCAATCCACATGTTTCTGATTCATTTACACGTAAATCATCCAAATGCTGTTTTTGCAAGAGCCATTTTGCAGTCCAAAGCTGCTGGAGTCTTTTTTGTAAGCCCTTGTAAGCCTTTTTTCTTAGAAACAGGAAGTTGTCTCTTGCCACATGCAGGCCAACTTAAACCCCCAAAGACTTGGGAACAGTTGGAAATGCAGTTCCCCCCTAAGATTCAAGTAGTCCTGGGTTTGATTGAAACTGCGAGCTTGGTGCTTCCATTGTGAGCCTTACATTGAGAATTCAAGATGATGGAGCTCCAAAGAAAAGGGGAGGGTCTTTGCTCTGTGACTGCTCAGCATGGTTATGTTTCCCTGAGGGTCTTCTCACCCAGGTTGGAGGTGGGTCTAGACACGCTTATTAAAGACAGGCCTTTCTGCCGGGGTTCTGTGCAGCAAAGAAAACAAGGCTATTTCCGCCTTATACCAAAATCTACTCTGGGGCACCTGGCATTAAAGGACAGCTCCCTACAGTATAGTCAACAAATAGGGCTCAGGCAGTGCCAATATGACACAAAGCAAAGTAGAAAACTGACAAATTTCCTGATAATTTGGTTGATGGATCCAACCAAAATCTACCATTTAGGCCCTGAAATTATCCCATGTGGCTGGCCCAAAGGAAAAAGATCTAAACAGTGTTTTTCGTACCTGAATAATGTGTTAGATTAATTAGATACAGGTTAAGCTTCCACTTAAAGCTGCAATCAAAGTTATAAAGCAAAATTAGCTGATGTGCTAGTCTGTGTCTAACAGTGTTTCTTAATCTGGTATATGGGGATTGCAAACTCCAGAGCTCAGGCAGGGGTCCATAAGGCAGCTAAGTGCCCTGGATGGGTTCTGGGGGGACCCCCAGATCATGTTGTCAACTACCAGCTCCCACAAATACTGCTGTGCAGCAATATCAGTTCACAGCCACCAGCTTTTCTGAATTGTTTTAAGTAAAGTTGGAGATGTGGATTTGTATGTATGTATGTGTGTGTGTAAACTTTTTGTTTTCAAAACTTTTTTTTTTTTTTGTGATCCCATACAGTAACTCTGTACCCATTAAGCATTAATTCCCCATTTCCCTGTCCCTTAGCCCACAGTAACCACAAACCTACCTTCTGTCTCAATGAACCTGCCTATTCTAGATATTAGGAGCTCTGGTAGTGTAATGCCTAAGGCATTTGACTGCTACCCAGAAGGCTGGTGGTTTGAAACCACTAGCCACTCTTTGAAAGATAGATTGGGGAATCTACTTCTGTAGTGATACTGCCTCAGAAACCCAAGGAGGGGTCACTATGAGTCTGACTACACTCAGCAGTGATGAGGGGCAGGATTCTAGATATTATACATAAGTCAAATCATACAATATTAGTCCATGTGTGACTTATTTCACCCACCATAATGTTTTCAAATTTCATCCATGTTGTAGCATTTATCAGGAGACATGTGGATTTTTTTTTTTTTTTTAAGATAGCTGAGTTTGCACATTAGCAACTAGTGGAAATTCAAAACAAAACCAAAAAAACCTAAGGGTACCAAGGGATGAATTTGTCCTGCCTACACTTTCCCACTTCTCCTTCACCAGTCTCAAACTTCTTGGAGATTCTGATGAAAAACATGGAACTTCTCTCCAGAAAAAAGCTCAAATGCACTTATACCCTGAATTTTGTATATAACATCAGGGGAGGGGTGTCACCACTCCCTAAAGCTCATCCATGACTTTCTAACCTCCAGAGGCAGAACTTTGATGATTCAATTCTGGGAAAAGGTCACGGATTGTGGCCTCTGAGCTTAGGTCCATCAAAAGAGGCCTTTTTAGAAAAGAATCTCACTGTACAAATTTAGGGTCGCTCCAGGGTTTTAGGAGCTGTTTTTCTTGTATCTGTGTGCAATCATGAAGATTAATTAAGTGGGTGAGAGAGATGGGTGTCTGAGACTTGGAATGTTCCAGAAATGCTGCTGGCATGCTGACTTGCCCAAGTCAGGCCCTTGAAGATTCCCATGAGGACACTATACTCTCAGAGAGCATGTGTGCCAAGACATCACAAGACAGCAGTGCTCTGCCACTTTCCCCAGCAGCCAGGCGACCACAGCCTCGGACAGCAGCACAGAAATCACTTAATTAGAAGGACAATGCACTTTTAATTACAGTTGCAACATTTTGATAAAAAGAACAAAGCCAAAATAGAAACTTCTGCAGGGCTAGGAGAAGTTGGAGTGTGAGGGTAGAATGTGGTCTTCCCCACACAGCACCGTATGTGTTAGAATTATGAACTGATTAGGAAAGGGAGAAAGAGCTTGCACAAAATGAACATATGCAAGAGACAAAGACAATTCCATGGGATTTACTACCTG